GAGTGGATCCCATGCAGACACCTTGGGACAATGGCATGGCTGTTTCAGCTGGTGAGATAAAAATAACAGTTGTGGATCATGCAGCATAGGCAGTGATGCTAAGAAGCTTGATATCCAGGGTCAGAGTTTGTGTGGCTAACCCAAGCTACCACTTGTGCCACAACATCCACACTGCTATTGATAACTTGCTAGCATGGGTGGCTGTTATGCTAAGCGGGGAAAGGCATCGCCTTCCCAAACCACCAGTCTGGCCCCGCCCACACTCTGCCTCAGAACACCTACTGAGAGTGGAGTGTTGCTGCCCCCAGGACCCACTCTCCCCATGCTCCAGGGCCAGGAAGGTTGGGGCCACACATTTCCCCACCTCCCTGTGGTGTGGGGAGGGTAGGGAGTGGTGAGATGGCCTGGCTCCCATAGGAGGTGGGGTCTTGGCAGAAGGGGTGGTGATAAAGGTGCCTCCCCCAGCCTGACCTTCACCCACTGCCCCTGCTTGTTAGTGAAGTGGAGCTACCTACCCAGGCTAGGAGGCATTCTTCCCACCTGCAGTTTAGGCATGCCCTGGAAGTCTGACTGAGTTAGGCGTACATCAAAACTGACAGCATGATCATGCAAGGTACTGACTGCCTCCTGTGATATTTTGAGCATATGCTACTCTTGCTGAAATAACAGGAGTAGAGGTTGCTCAGCACCCTGCAGGATCAGCTCCTCTGAAAGGAGTTCAGGACTTGGCCAGCTGGGCTCATACTGGGCAACCACTAGACATCTAGTTAGAGAGGGCATGGAACCCAAAGGCTAGGAAGTCAGTGCTGCCATTTTCTTCTCTTGTGCTATGTATGCATAACAGAAAGGATTGTGGAGAGAATTCCCCTAAAACAACCTATTTATTTGTTCATGCTAAACTCCTGTGGATACTTTATTTTGGTACTTAGAAATTCCCGGAGCACGGGTCTTTCACAGTTGCTGGAGATGGCAACAGAAACAATGTAAGTAGGGTCTGAACCAGAGAATATTGGGAGATTGAGACCAGAACTTCTCTAATGCTGGTTTTAATGTACATTTAATGGGAGTGTGTATGGCATTTAGTTAGTAGACGGGGCCAGCCCGAGCCATTCGTGCACCTCAGGCCTCAGGAGCGTGGCGCTGGCCCCGGGAGTGAGACGCATGCGCAGTCCCGCCCCCGGCCACATGGCACCCCCGCCCCCCGGGTGCCCGGCACATGCGTGGCGCCACCCCGGGCGCACGGAGCATGCGCAGTGCCACCCCCACCCGGCCCAGCAGCCCCGCGCAGCGCCCCCTACAATGGGGCGCCCCGGGCAGTAGCCCGGTTGGCCCATACCTTGGGCTGACTCTGTTAGTAGACAATAGGCTCTTGTACTGGTCTGGTAGAGTAGCGGTGAGCAACAAATGAACATATACCAGGCAACAGATACTGGAATATTTTTACAAGTCTGGGTTTCACTTATTCATTACTCAGAGTATCAACCTCATAAACAATAAATTAATTTCCTTTAAAAAGGCTTTATTAGTGAAGGGCTACAATTAAAACCCCAGCTCTGAATATTTCTCATTTGTGCTTCTCACATCCTTTTGTGTTACTTATGAGTAACATAAAATATTTCTAGTAATAGAGATGTAGCTGTGTTAGTCTGATCTTGCTGAAACAAAAGAAAGGACTATGCAGCACTTTAAAGACTAACAAGATGGTTTATTAGGTGATGAGCTTTTGTGGGCCAGACCCACTTCCTCAGATCAAATTCTGGAAGAGAATATTTCCATATTGAAGAACTGGCTCCCTCCAGTGGTGTGTGGGCATTAAAAATTTTTGAACCATTAGCAGACAATCTTCCAGGAGAATTAGAAAACTAATGACATTAAATAAATTTCCTTTGAATAACTCAGCCAAGATTGTAAACCTCTAACTACTGTGTTGCTCTTCTAATGTGAGCAGTAACATGTGCTTTAAAACGGATATCCTTAGCGAAGAAAGCAGGAAACGGGGATTATAAAGGAATATTGAAAAGGTACTGAGCAGCCACTTGTCCTAGTATACTTAAGATGGGAGTTATAGTACGGTATGTAAATACTTCAGTTAAATCACACTGTTCTTGCATATTCATTTGCATTCATCTAAACAAAGAATTCATGCTGACTTGGCAATGACCCAGAAGGGCTGGGGTTGCTGTCAGCAGAAATCTACTCAGAGCAATTTCATCTTCATCCCAAATAATTACAGCTTTCAGTAAATTAATTTGCTCACAAGGATGACATGAGGTGGATGGATCACAGTAATCACAGTGCCACGGCAGAAGTGACATACTTGTTCTGAGGAAAAGGATATGCATGGTGCTCTAGGATTATTCCCAGAATGGTCCTGCCATCCACATTTTCCTTCCAGGCAAAGAGACTCAGTGAGGTTGATTTCACATGGTGCATATATGCAGTAACACACTTAAAATTATGTATAATTTTAAGCATCTGAGTAGTCTTTGACACTTTAGCAGGACTGCTCACATACTTAATGTTACAGGAATGCTGAAGGGCTTTGCTAGGTTGGAGATGTAGTTCTGGACCAGCTAGTCATATAAGCATTTATAGCAATAGAAATTTGGAATTTCACTCTTAATTAAATTCCATATCTAAATTCTCTTACCATAAAGTTTGGGAGAGATTGCTGAATGTTGCTTCCTATGCTTCCTAAAATGACCCCTAAGTGAGCATATTAAGGAAATTGTAGAAGTGAGTAGCCATCAAATGGAAAAGAAAGGATGAAATATAACATGTAAATATAAAGCACATATCAATACTGGAGAAAATTCCAACTCTGCCTAATCAAAGAGGATGCCTAGAAAGTTACTTCTAGGGCAAGTCACTTATTGTACTAATTTCAAAACATGTCATTTTAAAGCTTTAGTCTTTTACAAAACACAATTAAGATGCAATCTACAATACAAATAAGCATCATGTCTGTAATTGGATTAGAGAGAAATTGAGTCTACACAACACCCTTGCTGTTATTGTATTTACAGCTTAAACAGGGCATCAGACTACATTGTGAGCCCAAAAGTCCCAGACTCCTTTTACAACATTTGAAATAGCTACCAGTGTCATCCCACTCAATTGCAATACCAATGCCCTTTATTCAACTACTTGTGCCCAAGAGGATAAAGAACATCTCACCCAAATTTCTCTCTTGTCAAAGTCATGCTGACTTGGCTCACCCTTTCAGTTCTATTTAAAAGAAGAAATCCTCAAAAATATGTAAACAGTACTGAGCTAGTTTTAAATGTCAGGCTTAATCACTGTGCTATTGATTCCTATGTAATCATATCCTTCACTGTCCTGTACTAGCCATGTTTTTGCTTTGTTTACTGAATAGAAAGTTAAACTACAAGATTATGCAGAAAATCATTTGGTGTGAAAAATTATTTCCTGAGAACCCATCCTAGTCCATCCTAAACTAATGCTCTTCACTCCACACATACCTCATGACCAGGGAGCCTAGTTTTCTGTGTTAAACCCAAATTCCGATAAAAATATAAAAACCTGTGATTTTTCTGTGATTAAAATAAAACACTCAACTCTAATTTCCCTAAAGTTATGGGTGTGTGTGTGTGTGTGTGTGTATGTATACTGTATATATATGTGTCAGCTGAACACAATGTTTTATTGATATATTTACAATTTTTAAGCAAGTCCAAAGCCTACCTGTTTAGCACTTCCCATGTGTTCTACAGGTGTCTGTCTTTGATCATAATCTACAGCTTTGCTGTATACAGTACAGACCAGCACATTACTATCAACATGACGTCTGTCCTTTCCAGTCGGTGATACAGTCTCCAGGTGTGATTTTTCTAAAAGCATCTTTTAAAAATGAATGAAATTTAGCATCTTCTCTTAATGTTGAAAACTTTTTAAAAAAATCACCCCTGGAAATTTAGCATCTTCTCTTAATGCTGAAAACTTTTTAAAAATATCACCCCTGGAGACTGTATCACCGACAGGCAAGGACAGATGTCATGTTGATAGTAATGTGCTGGTCTGTACTTTATACAGCAAAGCTGTAGATTATGATCAAAGACAGACACCTGTAGAACACATGGGAAGTGCTAAACAGGTAGGCCTTGGACTTGCTTAAAAATTAATCACCTTTTGAGGCGGAAAGTAAATTTGACATACATTAAAACATGGACCCCCCTTATTGGTGTTTCATAAACTTTATAGGCTGGGAGCAGTTTATTGGAGTTTGTTTAGCTATGTAAATTTAAAGTGCATTCAAAAATTAACCACAGGAGTGGAAGGGTGTGCACATTAAATAACTAACACCAGTACTTTCAGTAAAATGTAGTTAATATGTGTTCATTTTTTTTTTACAACATATAAAAGCTAAATGACATATTAGGTCACAGAGATCCCCTTGAGACTGTCATTTGATAGGCTGATAGTTCCACTGAGCCTGCCTACCTCCCCTCCAGGGCACCCCCCACCAGGCTGTTCTGCTGAGCCAAAAGCTCTGGTCTCCCCCAGCAAGGCACAGAATTGGGATTATAGCCCCCGCCAGAACAACACAGACACTGAGAACAGCTCAGCTCTGGGAAGGCTCAATCAAAGGGATTTTTCATGGCACCAGGTGCATTGCCCCACTGAGTTCAAAACCAGATAGATCCATTTGACTCTGCATAAAAGTTTTCCACCCAGCAAGATCATATATTCTCCCCCTTTATCAATGAGAGAAAAGCACAACTGTTGTCCCCCTGATAACAGTTATTTATATTGGGTTCATTAATAAACAAAAGTGATTGTATTAACTACAAAAAGTTGGATTTCAGTGATTATAAGTGATGAGACAGATCAAAGTAAGTTACTAAGCAAAATAAAACCAAATATGTCAGCTAGGCTTAATAAGCTAAGAAACTAGTTACCTGCAATTTCTCATCCTAACAGTAGTTTTAATCATTTTTCTCACAGACTAGGCAGCCTCCTAGTTCAGACTAGATCCTTACCTCTATTCAGTCTTACTTGTTTCCAGGAGTCATTATGGTAGTAAGCAGGGAGTGTCTTGGTGTCTCACAATTGCCAAATCCTCTATTGTCTGATTCCCTAGATTTTGTCCAACGCAGGAATACTTTGTGTTCATCTTCAACCCTTTCACATCCCAATGGAAAAGTACCATATTCAAAATGGGTTCCAATATCCAGTGATCTGGCCACATCTTGACAGGCCCAACCATAGTCCAGGCTTACAGGAAATACAAGAAATACCGATCATTTTATTGAACAGCAGGTAATTAAGTTCCTTAAGTACACTTGCACACAGATTAATAAACAGGTTTACATTTCTTATTTCTAACTTCAAATACAGGAATGATACATGCACATAGATAGAATATACACATTCAGGGGATTACAAGTTCTTTAATGAGAGGCTACATACCCCATTTTTCATAAAGCATATTTGAGTTATTCCATAAAAATATGGAGTGCAAGTCATACTACAATTCTATGTAAAATGAAAATTCCACATTATTCAGTGGCAAGAAGATTCCTGGGATCTCTGCTCCTCACTAAATGTTCCCTTTGCATTCTTATCCAACTTTAATATTTGTGAAATTATTTCATGAGGTCCTTCTTTCAAGCTCCCTATCATTCTGCTGGCATTGATCTCATGTTCTGTAATACCTTATTAATATCAGTATTTCTTCTGCAAGCTTCTCAGGGTTAATCCACCACTCAAGAAATGTTAGTCACACAGTATGGCACAAGCATGCTGGGCCTTTATGTAATGAATCCAACCCACCCTTCACTCACACATCTGTTGTTTGTTTCTATTTAGATTGGAAGCTCCTTGGGGAGAGGGAAGATGTCTTTCCAAAGATCTGTGCAGCATCAAGTACACTGCCAGCCTCTATCAGATAGAAAATAAGTATGATAAAATACAAATAGTAAATACTAATGAGAGAAGAAGAAATCATCTCAGAGTAAGAAAAAAAAATTAGTCAGAGAACTGTCTTGTTGAGCAAATCACTCTACTTTCAGATTAAGCTTTTTTAGAAACTCACCATACAGACAGAAACATTTAAGAACAAAGTATAATCCGCAAATGTGTATATAAAATAATCAAATACCAAACATTTCAGTGTTGAGTCTTTTTTCTAGCCCAAGAGTAGATGTAAGCAGCCCTCAGAAATCAAGGCGTCATTGAAAGAAGATTCTCTTTCAGTCAATCAATAAAAATGTCCATCTAAACTAATGCCACGTATACTGTTTGCTTTTAAGTTTTATTACGGTATTTGTAGTAATATAAATTACATTAATTTAGAGCTCACTGTGGTGTTGGGCAGAGGACTAGTGAGGTCCGTACAAGCTGCTAATGTGGCCCTTAGTAAAAAAATAAATGTCTTACTACTCTGGGCAAATAGCCATTTAATTCCTTAGTAGTAGCAAATAAACATAAGAAAACAAGTTTCAGAGGGGTGGGTTGTGCCCATGAAAGCTCATGACACCATCTACATTTTGTGTTAGGGTACGTCTAGACTACATGCCTCTGTCGCCAGAGGCATGTAGATTAGGCTACCAGACATAGTAAAATGAAGCGGCGATTTAAATAATCGCCGCTTCATTTAAATTTACATTGCTGCCGCGCTGAGCCGATCAGCTGTTTGTCAGCTCAGCACGGTAGTCTGGACGCTCCGCGTCAACATCAAAGGCATTTGTTGACCACCCAGGTATGCCTCATCCCAGGAGGCATACTCGGGTGGTACACAAATGCCTTTGATGTCGACCGCAGAACGTCCAGACTACCCCCCACAGCCGCAAAACAGG